GCAAAGAGCTTGAATATTACATCTCTTTATTTACAGGGTGGCTGTAACCCCGGCTGTTGCTGCAGCTTTCATTAAAAAAGGTTTTGCTGTAAATGTAGAGGATAGTGCAGGACTAGGCGCCAAGTTTAGAAATGAGGATTATGCATCTGTTGGAGCTAATGTTGTTGATAGAACTAAGGCTTTTGGTTCAGGTACTAAAACAGCTTCCTTCAATTTTTATTTTAAAATCCTCTGTTAACAGTGTTGTTGTTACAAAATACTTTTTCTGTTAGATATTATTCTCAAAGTGCGTCCTCCCCAAGAATCAGAACTTCCAGTTCTCAGAGAGGGCTCCACTCTGATTTCATTTCTCTACCCAGCTCAAAATAAATCACTTGTTGATCATATGTCAAAGAAGAAAATAAATGCCTTTGGTATGTAGCATTTTTTCTTCAGTATGTTTCACATTTTCTGTTAAGACATAAAAAAAATAAAAAATACATATTACATTAATCAATTTCTTTACTTAACATTTTTAGCTATGGATTGCATACCACGCATATCAAGAGCACAGGTTTTTGATGCATTGAGTTCAATGGCTAATGTAGCAGGTTACAGAGCTGTTGTAGAGGCATCAAATTACTTTCCAAGATTTTTTGCTGGTTAGGATTTTCTTTTATGATTTTTATCTCTCTGCATATTGCTCTTTATCCAAGCCATCACGGTGTTTAATATTTTTTTTAATTTATCCAACATCCAACAGGTCAAATAACTGCTGCTGGTAAAGTGCCTCCAGCAAAAGTTCTTGTGATTGGTGGTGGTGTTGCTGGTCTGGCAGCAATTGGGCAAGCTAAAAATATGGGGGCTATCGTCCGAGGTTTTGACACCCGTTCAGCTGTGAAAGAACAAGTTGAATCATTGGGTGCCGAATTCTTAGAGATAAATATCAAGGTTTTTCTTTTGAAAGTTTAAAATTTGCTTTTGATAGTCTGTGATACTTTACAGCTGATGCTATATTTATTTTTACTCAAATTTTTCTTAGGAAGAAGGATCAACTGCAGGTGGCTACAGTAAAGAAATGTCAAAAGAATTTATTGAAGCTGAAATGGCATTATTTGCAAAGCAAGCGAAAGAGGTTGATGTGATTATAACTACTGCTCTTATTCCTGGTCGCCCAGCTCCCAAGCTTATTTTAAAAGTAGGATTCCATAAATATATCAATCTATTATGTCTGCTAGACTTTTGAAATTAAAGGTAATCTTCTATTTTTTTTATTTTCAATTTTAGGAACATGTAGATTCAATGAAGCCAGGGAGTGTGATTGTTGACCTGGCAGCCGAAACAGGTGGAAATGTAGAAACAACTCGGCCAGGAGAGGTGTATACTTATAATGATGTGGTCCACATAGGTTTGACAGATTTGTCATCTCGTTTACCAACACAGAGCTCAACTCTTTATGCTAACAACATATCAAAATTCCTTCTTTCTATTGGTAATTTTAGATCCTGTTTTATTTTTAGTTTTCTTATTTTGAGGAATAACTTAGGCCACATGCTATAAATTTTTCAGGTCAAAAGGATAATTTCCAGATTAACTTGGAAGATGAAGTGGTGCGTGGGAGTATCATATTGCGGGATGGCCAGCTTATGTGGCCACCCCCAGCAAAGGCTGCAGCACCACCTCCACCTCCTCAAGTTTCTCAATCCAAGGTTGACGCTGCTAAGACAATTGAGCCTGACTACTTCATGGACACTTTAAAGGATACCGTCAAGTACAGTGCAGGTAATATTCCTCCTAAAATTTGAGAGCTTAAAAAGTCGCAATATGATGCTGAATGTATTTGCGTCTTTATTTAGGTTTAGGAGGGCTTGTTGCTCTTGGTATAGCCTCTCCAAATGCAGCCTTTTCAACCATGACAACAACTCTTGCCCTTTCTGGTATTGTGGGATACCATACTGTGTGGGGTGTAACTCCTGCTTTGCACTCACCCCTAATGTCAGTCACAAATGCTATATCTGGAATAACTGCTGTTGGTGGGCTTCTTCTGATGGGAGGAGGTTACTATCCCACTAATTCAGTAGAGGTAAGATTATTGGACTCAAGGTTGTAAAAGTTTAATATGTATACTGTTTGTTCTGTTGTTTTTCTTTTCCTTTTATGTTTAGATGAAGTCTATTCCCGTATTTCTTGTAAATGACCTGAATGTACAATTTTTATCTTTGAATAATGCTCCACAGGCTCTTGCTGCATCTGCTGCTTTCATTTCTTTCATCAATATTTATGGTGGATTCATTGTGACTAAGCGTATGCTTGATATGTTTAAAAGGTAACTTAATTTCAGATTTTAAATGTCTTGATCTTATTAAACAATTTCACTTGTCTTAAAAAATTCTCAAAATTTTATTTTATTTTTTGTCACAGTGATTAATATTATTGTTGTTCCCTTTTTACAGACCAACTGACCCTCCAGAACACAATTACTTGTATGCTCTTCCTGCTGCTGCCTTTCTTGGAGCCTATGGTTATGGTGTGTCATGTGGAGCTGCTGAAATTCATCAGATGGCTTCTTTAGCATCATCCTTATGCTGTGTTGGTGCTTTGGCTGGATTGAGCTCCCAGAGCACATCAAGATTGGGTAACAACTTGGGCATGGTAATCTATTTGTTTTTGATACTTTTCAAAGTGATTTTTCTTGATTTGGCATACATAATTTGTTTCTTAAAACGTCTTGAATTTAGATTGGAGTTACTGGTGGCATAGCTTCAACATTAGGCTACATGGCACCGAGTCATGAGGTGTTGGCTCAGATGGCAGCATGTATGGCAATTGGTGGGGGAGCTGGCACTGCAATTGCCAAAAAAATAGAGATAACAGATTTGCCGCAACTTGTGGCTGCTTTCCACAGGTAAATATTTTAGAGTGTTCAGATTATGTCTTCAGTGATTGGTAGTAAAGCAGTTTCTATAATGCTGATGTCTTATCTTTTCCAGCCTTGTTGGACTTGCTGCCATGTTGACATGCGGTGCTACATATCTTCATGATTTTCCTTCTCTTGCCACTGATCCAGCTGCTAATGTGATTAAAACTGCTCTTTTCCTTGGAACATTTATTGGTGGGGTGACTTTCAGGTACTTACTATATGAAATATATTTACCAGCATAAGGTCTAATGTTGAATGAAATTTCACATTTTACATCTATGGTTTGCAGTGGTTCTTTGGTTGCATATGGAAAGCTGCAGGGACTTCTTTCATCTTCTCCCCTTCTGCTGCCAGGCCGCCATGCTATCAACCTTAGTTTGCTTGCTGCAAATGCAGCAGCCATGGGATACTTCTTTTATGATCCTTCCATGACTGCTGGCCTTGCCATGCTCGGTGCCACTGGTGCTCTCTCTTCCACAATGGGTGTCACACTCACATCAGCTATTGGAGGTAACAGGGAGAATAATATGTCAATGTATTATCATAGTAAACCGTACAATTAATAACTGTTTATAATTATACTGAACTGGTCTTTTGTCTCATTAAAGGAGCTGATATGCCAGTTGTGATCACTGTCTTAAATAGCTACTCTGGTTGGGCTCTATGTGCTGAAGGATTCATGCTAAACAATAATATTATGACAATTGTTGGTGCTCTTATCGGATCTTCTGGTGCTATTCTCTCTCATATCATGTGCAAGGTCAGAAGTTTTCTTTTGTATTTGTCTTTGTTTTTATGTTAATTGTTTTTCCTTGTCGATAAAATTTAATTTCTGATCCTATTCAGGCTATGAACCGATCTCTACCGAGTGTGATTCTGGGAGGGTATGGTACATCTTCCACTGGTGGGGGAAAGCCAATGGAAATCACTGGAACACATACGGAAGTATTTGTTGACAATGTTGCAGAAATGATAAGTAATGCAAAAAACATTATAATCACCCCAGGTCTGTATATATTTTTCTTACATACATTACATTAATTTTTACTTCTAAAAATATTTGGTTGACAGTTACCTTGGGTTTAATGTGGAAATTTTCTTGCAGGTTATGGTCTGTGTGTTGCTAAAGCTCAGTACCCACTTGCTGAGATGGTGTCTCTCCTCAAAAGTAAGGGCAAGAAAGTGAGATTTGGCATTCACCCTGTAGCCGGTGAGTACTGTTTCATATTTGTACAACCATCACATCTTGTTTTTTATCCAAGGAATAGAATAGCCCTGTGTTTTGGTCTTGCTGCAATGAACATTTTAAACGCACATGATCACATAAGGTTTATTTTTTGTAACAGGACGTATGCCTGGACAGTTGAATGTTTTATTGGCGGAGGCTGGTGTTTCCTACGATGATGTTCTAGAGATGGAAGAAATCAATGATGATTTTAGTGAGACTGATCTGGTGTTAGTGATTGGAGCAAATGACACTGTGAACAGTGCTGCTGAGGATGATCCTAACTCAATCATTGCTGGCATGCCTGTTCTGCGTGTCTGGGATGCTGAGCAGGTAATTACTTGATATACGATACGTATTGTAATAAATTTCCTTGAACTTGTGACAGGCCTGTATGTACTGTGTATGTTTATTTTCTCTCATAGGTGGTAGTCATGAAAAGATCTCTTGGAGTTGGTTATGCAGCTGTGGACAACCCCATTTTCTATAAGCCCAACACATCTATGCTTCTTGGTGATGCTAAGAAAACATGTGATGCTCTTCTGGGGAAAATCAAAGAAGTTTATGCCAATTAAATTGCCATTTGAATGTTACCCTGTAATAGTGTAACAAGAAAGCTATCTGCTTTAAATTTGTTTTGTTTACTTATCAAATTGATATTTACGTCAGATTTATTTTAGGTGTATCACTTCACTTGACTGAGCTGGTGCCATTTTATTTGATATTAAATGCTTTAGTGTTTTGTTTATTCCCTTTGTGTTTTTACCCTAATTAATGAATTTTCCAATGTTTTAGTTTGTTTTTTTCAGTCTAGAAGTGTTTCTATGCCGAGTTCTGCTCATTTCACTTTTGCCTTGGCGTAAGGTTTGTAAACTACTAAAGTCTGATTTATTGTTCAGTAATAATTTTGTTCTCTTTATTTTTATTTTGTTGTTTTTGGTATTCTTCTGTTTCCTTCATACTGTTTTGAGTGGAGTTGTTGAACCTCTGTACCTGGTTTTAATTTTATTTGTGCTTTCCTTCTCTTTTATTTTTTTACTGTATCATGTTTCTGACCAGCTTAGCCTCACACATTATTATCATACCATTTCTGTAGATTTTCATCATAATTTTCTGCTATTGCTATCAATATACCTACCTCTAAAGCATTCCCATTGTGAGAATTATGTGTGAATTATGGTAGCTTTACCTTTGTGGTTTATTACGATGTAAAGAAATGTTGTGATGTGGTTTATTTGCTATTGTTGTGATTCTCAACTTGTTACTTGTCCACTGATGTGAGGTTTTAACTACTATGTATGAGAGAGATGAAGGTGTTTAACCATTTTGTATCTGGATCTGCAATCAATCAATCAACATTATCTGCTAAGCCTCAACATATGAAAATATCATTTTCGAACTGACATTATGATATTTTATTTGTGTGAGATCTGTGATAATATCTTGTGTTGCTGTCCCCAAAACAAACAAGACTACTTGTAGAAGCCCATTACAAGCTCTTTTTCTTTTTTCCATCAAATGATGCTGACCAGATTCATAGAACTCTTTTCCCCCAGGGATTTTAATATCCTCTTGATAGGGAAAATAAATCATTTGTATAATATTTTAAAATTATTACATAGGTATGTTAAGAGTGTGGAAATGACGCAATGTCATAATCCCAGATTTTGACCGGCTTATTTGAAATGACCTAGTGCAGTAGGGTAATTTAAAATAAATGAGTGGAATAGAATAAGGAATATCCTCAGAACATATTGGGTAATGTCAGAAACTGTTCATAAGTTTATTCATCAATGTGCATGTTTGTCATGATTTTTAAAATTTTTTGGAGTAATTAGATCCGTTTTGGCCGACAGTCCTCAAACACTACTTATGTCGCTGAGGCATTTTGACATTACTCAATGTGCCCAGGGTAGTTCTGATAATAGCCGGGTAATCTTTGGAGTGTCAATCCTGTCCAGTAATCTATCACGACATTCTCTGAACTTTCGGTTACTGTTGACATTACCCAGGTAATGTCAACATTACTCTTAACATGTATTTACCTATTAACAGCTCCATATACATGAGGGTTCTTGTCTTATACTCAGCCATTATTGATTACATTCCTGTAAGCTCTTGATTAAATGTTTACTGTATGGAGATTTTACTTCATGTTATGGTCAAGAATTATTATCAAAAATCAGTTAGTAAGGTACCTAAATGCACAACATGGTTATTAATGGTCTGATTATACAACTTAAAATGATTTTGCATTAATATTGTATTTTATTAAGTTTTTTAAAACTCTTTTTAGCAACTGATATTTTTAAGGTTTTGCTCTTTCAAATATTTCCATAATAAATGCAAACATTAAGTCTCCTTGGTCCTGTTGATATATGCTTCTCACATGGTAGTTTTTGTGGTTTTAAAAGGGGGCATTTGGATTTGGAAGTCAAAAAAAATCTACTCAAATTACAATTATGTACAATATATTACAAAGTAAAATAGTATCACAAACCAGATGTTAACATGAGCCAACATGCACTATAGTCCAGATAAAGTAATAAGTAAAGTAATCAGAAGGTGATCATATTTTGTAAAAGGTTATCATGAAGTGCTGACAGACTTGAAGCACTATCTGATGGTAACAAATTGCCACAAGATGTACTTTTTGTATGTATATGAACTTGACCTTAAGCACAGGACTTAAGACAGGAAACCATCCGTTACACAATTGAAATTCTAATAGGTGTGGTGCAAAATCTGATGACTGCATAAATTAATTATACAATTGTTCACACCAAGGTCGACAATTGAAAACGCCATATTGAAAAATCAAACAAGACAATGGATTACGTATCATGTATGCCCATCCCATAGCCCACTGTCGCACTGAACAAAATTTTCTCACTTACTAAATTGATGAAAGAATTGAACAGCAATCCAGTGTCATGCCTGTCATCATTCATCTTACCCAAGTACAAATATTCTCCTAATAAGCTCTCTGAGTTGAACTCTGAGGATGTCTAAACAATTCATGCTGAGCATACTCTACAGCTTTCATAACTAATCCATTTTCGTATCTAGATGGTTTTTCAGGGAGAAATTCATTTTCTAGTATTGTCATGGCTCCTGATATCACAGATGAGTTTTGGTGTGGGTTAGATACAATTGGATGATTTCCTTTGTTAGGTGATGATGAGCTAGGAGGATTTTGTTCTTGAACACCTTTCGGAGGTCCTGTTACAAGAGGTGTGGGAGGAAGAACTAGAGGTGGAACAGGGGGAGGTGGCTGTGGCTCATTCTTTTTTCTCTTAGGCAAGAATGCATGTCTTTTTTCCAGATCAGATACCGATTGAAGCAGTTCTCGAATTTGAGAATCTTGCCGTTCAACCTGTAAAATGAGTGATTCAAGAAATATAAATTATGAGGTGTTAAGGATTTCAACCATTTTATCAAACAACTACGAAAAATCATTTGAATGTTACATACCGTGAAGTACATATTTTGAATAGTATAATTTAACTGACTTAGTTCCTCCTGGCGAGCCTTTTCTTTGTCCAATTCTTTTTGAACCTGCAAAAGGATGTGCCCAAGGTAAATTGACTAGTACTAATGCAAACTCCATAAATTAGGAAATAAACAAGACTTACCTGTCTTGCATACTCAAAGTATAAGATACCAGCTGCTATGGAAAACACAATTGTTTCTCCCAGCATATTTGCACCAAGCTCAATGGCCATTGCCTCATTGAGCTGGGGTACATTGACAGGCTTTCCTAAGTTCATTACCCACATTTTGGTCTTTATTTCACACCAGTTGTAAACTAGAAACAAATATTAAAAAAAGATATACAATTAAAGTACTGCTGTTGTTTAAAGTAAACAAGATAAGAGCTGCAGCAGAATTCAAGATTTTTACATGTAATTTTCAGCACTGTATGGTGAAGGAAATAAAGGAGTTCAGTGCACTGTGACCAGATGGGTTCCATCAATCTTGGGTCAATTCAGTGACAAGTTACATTTACATTATAAAAGCAAATGTTGTCATAGCTTGTCATCCGAAAGAAAAGTGCATTTACTGAGCTATAAATGTGAGTAGGTTACTCATAACCTCAACTTTTACACTTACACTGTGCAGGAGGCATGCAAATGTATGTTCTGAAGAAATAGTTGTTCTTCGCTCTCTGCTTTGAAAAATTTGCGATAGGTTTGCTTAACTGCTTAAGCAGTAATGCCCCTAGTTTAACGACGGGAAAGGCCCCAACAACCATTTTCGACAATTTCAGTAAGGTTTCAGAAGTAAAGGAAAACAAACTCTATCGTTGTCGTCCGTCTCCGTCGGTCCTCGACACAGATTCATATTCGCTTTTAGAGGAGGCGGGAAAACGACTGTTTCTTTAGGAGGCGTACTTTTTTTTTTTTTTAAACCGCAATATTTCCCTGTTTCGAAATGAAAGAAGTTTGATTAGTTATTCGATCGCCATCGTGAACTCGGTGAAATGGTTCCCGATTGGAAAAAGGGAAGGACCACCAAAACAACGAACCATCCATGCCGTGAAGCCCAGGCGCGTTACCGCCCGTGACTTCCCTCCCGGCTCCGTGTGCTCCGTGCTCCAGTCCGCCGGGTCGCCGCTCCGCCCGCCCGCCTGCATGTATAGGCAACCCATCGGACTGGCCTACTCTCGGGTTGCCTCTCCGTAGAAGTGAGGCGCCGTCGGTCCAGTCCTCGAGAGTAGGCGCGGCCGTGAGACCCGCGCACCAGAAACACGATCTCTTGACTCTGCGTCGCGCCGCCGTTGCAGGCTCCTGGGGACGCGGCGCTCGGGTACACTGCGACACCTGACGCCTGACTGACACTTTTGGCGGGGCGGGGCGGTCCCAATGGAAGTTCTCATCGCCGCAGGCTGGGCTCTGCTCATCCGGATGTGTGGGGCTCTAGTGTGGGGCCGGGCCGGGCTAGGCGGGCCGCTCGGGGCCCCGATAGTGTCACCGCAGTGGCAATGGTGCGGGGTGTGGTGGGACGGGGCGGGGCGGGGCGGGGCGGGGGCGCGTTCATCGCCTAGCTCAGCCCGCCGGCCGTGCAGTTCGGCCGTTGATAAGGAAGAGGGCCCCGGCCCGGCCCGGCTCGGCGGCAGGGCGCAGGGCGGGGCGGGCCCATTGGCAGACGTGCCGCAGCCTAGCTCAGCGCGACACCTATGCGACGGGACAGACCGGCCGGGCCCGGGCCGCGACAGCACCAGCGCGACCAGCGCCCACACCCTGACGGACATGGCGGGGAAGGTGAGTCGGACCGGGCCGACGCGATCGATGGACTAGCGACCCGGTGCCCCCGCGGTGTGCGTCTGTCCCCCTACCCAATCGCGCGGTTCTGCCTTAGAATCAACCCCTCCGGACCTGACTCCGCGTTCGATGGTCATCTTGTGGCCTGGTTTGGTTGCTTCAAGTCTTTCTTCTATCTTATTGCCCGTCGTGTTTTACTCGGTACGATCAGGTGAGATAGTGGAGTCTCGCCTCTGGCCGTGCGCCTGTCCTGTTATCGATAATGTACTTGGGCTAACAGAGGAAGATAAGTAACAGATGAAACGTAAAGGTTCTCTCTCCGTTAGCTCAAGGACACTACATAGGGGGACGGCTGCACTTTGCGCTGTACTCATTAGTTCGTTGTGTTTTTGTTTTAATTCGAAAGAGGGGTGCGTCTGCAACCGCTCTGCGTACAGTGTGATGCTATCGAATCCCAAGTAGTTTTCGTCCCTCCCGAGGTCCACTCGTGTGCGAGTTGTCATTACGCGCCGAGTCGGCCGGCGCTGCTTATCGTATATGCGCGACCGCGCGCCTCGCAAACAAGAGACGAGTGTGTCGGCGGGGAGGGCCGGCGGGGCCCGGGAGCGGCGAGCGGCGTCATAGCCGTCATGGCGAAGGGGGAGGCGCACGCACGCACACGCACTCACTCACACACGACATTGTCTGGCCCAGGCCGCAAGGCGACGCGGATGCGAGTCCTTAGAGACGCTTCCGTCTTGAATTAGCGCCAGCAGCGAACCCTTCCCTTCTTTCCTCCAATACCGCCCCCCGCCACCACCACCGCCAATCCCAAATGCCCCTCGCCACCACCTCCTCCTCCTCCTCCACCCTCACCGGCCACACCAGCTGAGTCTTCTCTTTCAATTCGAGCTGCGTCGGCCGGCGTGGTGTCGCTCTGGTGTTCCCCCAGGACACAACCGCTCGCTGGCACGGTGGGCCCGTCACATCCACTGCTGCTCCCCCCTCGCTGCCTCCCCTACCACGCACCCCCCCCCCACACACACACACACTACTTCTCCCATTCCCCAACCCGCAGCATCCCCACCCTGTTGTTCAGCTTTTTCGGTACCCCGCCGGCAATTAAGAGGAATTAGAGACACACAACTCTGCGCGACCCGCCAAGGTGTAGTGGAGACCCTTCGGTACTGCTCTGCGGAGTGCGCGCCGCGGTGCAGAGCCCCTCCTCCGCAGTGCAGTTGTCTCGTCCGCCCCGTCCCCGAGTACCTCTTATCCCCGGCGGCCGCGGCGGCGTGATCGTTTCGGCGGCTCGCGCCCATAAAAGAGGGCGGGGCGGAGTTCGCCGCGACGTGCGACGTGCCGCGGCGAGGCTCGCTGCTGCCGCGCCTGCTGCACCTGCGCTGCGCTGGGCTGGGCTGGGCTGGGCTGGGCTGGGCTGGGCCCCGAGCTATAGTGTTGCCGTGCCTCGGGTCCGCGTGCGCAGCCTGGCCGCACTCCACGCGACAGAATGGCGCCTTTTTGTCTTGTTGTCTTCAAATCCGCCAACACAGACGTGCGCGCGCACAATCGTTGGCAGCGAGATATAGACCCGTCCCGCTGGTGGCGTTGAGAGGATAGGGAGGAAAAGAGACAGACAGGCAGAGAAAGAGAGACACGGAAGGGGGGGGGGGCGTTTCCGCTTGGGTAGCATTTTGTGTGTTCGTTTTCCTGTGGCATGATGTCACGGGAAGAACGTCGCGCCCCATTGCTGTGCTGGACGAATTCAAAATGATTGTTGACAAACTTGTTCTTTAATAGCACTTTCGTCGTCATTGGGTGTGACGGGCGTGCGCGGGTGTCACCGCGGCCGCCCGGGCCGGCCTCGTGGAGGTGATAATGGAGCCTGTCAAAGCAGGACGGTGGCGGGGGGCTACTCCAAAAATCCAGTTCTTGAATGAGATAAATATAAGGCATACGGGAAACCCCCGCTCGCACGACGACGATTGCATGCAGGTGTGGTAAGGACAAATTTGCAATAATTTTACTTGATGCGCAGGCCTGTTCGTTGGGCTTCGGAGATGCGCCCCGCTCCTCTCGGGTGTAGGCATCACGACGAGCTCGCCGCGAGCAGATCCCCAGGAACCACGCCTACCCGATGGAGCTATACCATGGCCGCTCCAGGATCCTCCTCATACGAGCTGCCAGCCGGTTCGGTTCGCCTCGCCTACTCCCGGAGTTAGACTGCACCACACTCACGCGTGCGGGGTCGGTGGCCTGCCTACCCGATGGGTCCAGGAGGCACTGACGGAGTCGGAGGGCGAACCCTTCACCGGGGCATACAGTAGAAGTCGGACAAAGCGCGGACTGCAGATTCGGCGACGCCCAGTGCGCCTTACTACCTATCGCCGGCCGGCCCGGCCCGCCTTCAAACGCTCCCGCCTCCCGCCTCGTGCAGGTGTAGTTCGTTGCTCCCCGGCGCCGCCTCACTCGCCGCCCCACCTCGCCGCCGTGCCGCGCGGGCCGGCCTTGTACCCTTGTACTTGACATTCATTTCACCGCGCCAATGGCGCATGCTGTCCGTCGGAACTTAGCACAGGTGACGGTGACAGGTGTACGCACCTGCCGCCCGCCCCGCCCCGCCCCGCCGCTCCGCGAGCCGAGCACCTCGGCTTAAAGGACTCCCGCTCTGCAAGGATAACAATTACTGCGAGCGTTTGCCGCTCCGAGCCTCGTCCATTTATTTTCACGACCGCACAGACGCTCCGCGTGGCGCCGCGTGGCGCGCGGCGGGGCGTGTGTGGCTGCGGGAGCGCCGGCCGTGCGGCTCTTCACCTGTCTTCACATTGCTCACATCACCGCTGCGGGTCATCATGAGTGATCATCCGAAAACATAGAAGGGGCGCAATCAAGCGTCTGCATAGCTCACACACATTCACTTCTCCCCCGGCCAGTCCGGCCATGTCGGCCTACCCGGTAGATGGCATTTTCATAGGGCTCTTGTAAGGATCAAAAGACAAAGTCTCGGTGAATGATCAAAAATTTAGGTTGTTTTTTTTTTTGTGCCTACGATCATTATTAGTTTGGGAGATGTGGGATGTATCCCTCTGCAAAAAGTCTGCGCGTTACCCGTACTATGTAAGGTCGGGAGACGCGGACGTCGACGTCGAAATTAGTTTCACACTACACTGAGAGCAGGACTTGTTCTTCTTAGGGATCGTCTAGAAAGTACGAGCGTATTTCTCCTAGATTGATTCAGCAACTTCGTGTTCGTTCGTTAACCCATTAGAGCTCGGCGCCTGCGAGACTCGGGGTAGGCCACCCCGCAGTACACGCATGCACGGCAGCCACGATTTTGCCTACCACGTAGGCGCTTTGAGACCTTCATTGTGCGAACTTGGCAGTATCGCAACGGCAAATGACGGACGCACTTACTAGATGATTTCACTATATTACGGGCGATACTTGAGGTTAAAGAACTAGTTTATTCTTTGGCACAACATTAATCTAGTGATCTACGTCTATCTTGAGTTTCAACCAAGTCCAGTCACACAGTCACATCTCATGTTTTGACTAGTCAGTGAACAGTCGTTTCCCCAGTGACACACCTCGTTTTCCTCGTGACCACTAAAAAACTTGGAGTGAGATTTATTAGACTTTTAGTGCGCGCCTGGGCCGCCCGTTCTTGTCACGGAACAGCAAGAACATTTTCCATTATGCACAAAGCAAAAGTACTAATTTGTTACAAGGACGGGCGGGTCTTGTTATAGCTAGAAAGTGAGGACTTGAAGGGAAGACCAGAATTTAAATATTCGCGCGGAACGGGCGGCAGATGTGGTGGCGGATGGAAAGCGCCGATTCCAGCGATGCGCCCCTCCGTCGCGCACGTCGCCCGGTCATCGGCAGCCGCGGGCGCGGCCCCGGGAGGGGCCCGGCTCTCGCCTCGGCCAGTCAGTCGCCAGCCAGCCAGCCAGGGAGCATGGAGGTCCAATTATAATAACAACCGACGATAATACAGTGAGACTACCTAAACCATGTAGGACAGTTATTATGGCAACAGAACCCAAAAGTAGGCCACTGAAACAGTCTGCGGCACCCAATAGTGTCCCCATGAGACGCGAGGCTGTGTACTTGTCGCCTCGTCAGTGCGCTTGACGCCTTGATGGGCCCGCGGCGTTTGTTAACTCATTTGGACGCCCTCTTTTTTTCCGGCCGCGAGTCAGGCCACAAAAGGGAGCGCCACGCGCCGCCCGAGTCGGACGCGGATTTAATACGACGGCGCGGTGGGCCTGATGACTCGGCAGTGTTGCGCGCAGAACAGAAGACGTGTGATGGGAGCCGCCGAGTCGCGACCCGAGCCGGAGGAACAAACCCAAAACAAAGGAGACATACCAGAGTCGAACAAAAAAAGGAAAGGTTTGAAATGTTTTAATTACAAGAATCTTTGTTAGGCAGGACAGGAAGTGCACTCCTCCCTAAACAGCAAAAGAGACTTTCTGGGAAACCGTCAAACTGCATTTAGTTCGTCGCGTTGTCCGGTAGGTGTACTACACGCTACACCGGACAGTGTGTTAGGTTGCCTATGCGCCGGCTGCAGGCGCCGCAGAGAGAAGATCTCCGTCTTCGCGACGCGCGCCCCTCCACTACCGCATGGCCGACACCTCCCTCCACGCCCCACAAACATTCACACCCTCCACTT